GAGAAAACAGTACAGCTGAGAAGGAGCGAAGGATACTAACAGGGTCGCATTGGACATGATGTAATACCATCTCAAAAATATTGTGTTTTTTTGTTTTTGTTTTTTAATCGCCTTGTGCTTAACAAGGAGAACAACTTGAAGTGGCAGCAGAGCACCAGGACTACAGGGGACATGGTTAGTTTTATTTTCCTCACAACACATACAACAAAAGCCATTCAAGCCACTATACATCATTACAAAAAAAAAAAAAAAGCCATATTTCAAACCTAATGACAGAGAGCTGAACAGATTGTCACTTTTAAAACACATACAGTACATTCTAAAGAGGATTAGCTTATGTCCTGTTTTGGGATTATCACAGCAATCCCAACTTTCAACAATCAACTTTAAAAAAAAAAACATTAAAATAAACAACAACAGCCTGAAAGCCTTAAGTATTACAGTCTTTAAATGTCTACGGGGACTGAAAAAGGAAATATATTTAAGTAGTTAAGGAGAACAGAGTGAAGGCGTTAACTGAGAAGATATTTGAATGGATTTGAGTTTGCTTTTTTGCACCACGTCGTCCCCAAGGTGCATTGTGCTCAGATACTGCGCTCCTAGAGCTGAAGCAAGACACTGTGCTTTTCGGAGGAGAACAAGAGTAAGGGGGCAAGTTAAGACAGAGTGAATTAACATATTTAAGAAGAGAAAAAAAAAAGACGTTGACTGCAACCCTCTCCCTCTTGCTTTCACTCCTCCCTGCCTTCCCTGTCTTGCTGGCTCTTGGCTGTGGCCCAGACCAATTCTCCGGTGGCCTCTGTAAATATAACATTTACAATAACAACGCCAGAGCCCCCGTGTGTGGACTTAGCCCACTTCCTGGGTCCTTGCTGCGCTGCCTGCAGCTCTGATGGGTAAAATAATACGCCTTCACGTCTGACACAGAGTCCAGAGAGGAATAGGGGCTAATTTAGAGACAGCCAGATATCTGGACGGTTTCTGTCAAGCATCTTTCCTGCCCTCTGAGATGCCAGAGGGAGTAGAACGGCCCCGAGTGCAGAAAGGGGCTAAATGTGGTCCGAAGGAGCCATGCGGCGATGCAGGCCTTGGCGGTGTGCTTGATAAGGAAACCAGGCCGCTCACATGATTAGAGGGTGACTGCTCTTTTAACACAGACCTTCTGGCTGAGCCGTCCAGCACAGACTGACGATCATCCAAAGTGCAAAATCTAAGACTTTTGTGGCTTAACACCATTATAAAAATAACTCAACATTAAATCTGTTCACGACAAAGCAATTATCTATTCACTTAAATCACAGAGAAGCGGTCACTGTGGACGTTAACCAGTTTAGGCACTGTGATGTTTTATGAATTTTACATTTGAAACTGAACATCCTCCCTTGGCTGCGTTTCACTGGTAGCTAACAGAGAGTTAAATCTCTGAAAAATGAATTGTCTAGTTCCTAAAAAGCTGTGGTTGTACAATGCCTTTCAAGAGTATCCATGCACCTCATTTTCACATTGAAACCATAAAACTTTGACCAACATAAAGAAGAGCACAACTTTGAAATGATGGGGGGGTTAAAGTTGTGGAGTTAAGAGCTCAGATTGGAAAATCCAAAAATTTTTAGTCGAGCTCTCAGTGACTGATATGATGTATACACTGGAAAAAAAATCTAAATCTAGATAAGTCATTTTGTTCTTAAAATAAGTGCATTTGTTCTTGGATTGAGGAGATAAAAGAGACATTTTTTCCAATGGAACAAGACAATTTACACTTAAAATAAGAAAACACAATTGTATTGTCATCTAATTATCTTAATTTAAGAATACAAATACTCATTCCATTGGCAAACTATCTAATTTACCTACCCAATTTAAGGATAAATACACTTAAAGAATTTTTTACTTATTTCTAGTTTTCATTTTTCCAGTTTAGAAGGGTACACTTGAAAAACAATCTAAAAAAAAACATAAAAAATTCTTAAATTAAGTGTATTTACCCTTAATTTGAGTAACTAAATGAGATAGTTTGCCAATATAATGAGTGTTTTTACTCTTAAAAAAAGATAAATAGATAATATGCACTTGAAATAAGACAATGCAATTGTGTTTTCTTATTTTAAGTGTAAATTGTCTTGTTCCATTGGCAAGATGTCTGTTTTACCTCCTCAATCCAAGAAGAAATGCACTTATTTTAAGAACAAAATGACTTATCTAGAGGCATGGGAAATACAGTTAAAGGTTTGCCCAAACCCACACTGCAAAAACTATCTCAAAACGAGTAAAAATGTCTTAAATTAAGAGTATTTACCCTTAATTTGAGCAGGTAAATAAGATGATTTGCCAATGGAATGAGTATTTTTACTCTTAAAATAAGGTATCTAGATATTATGCCTTTGAAATAAGACAATGCAATTGTTTTTTCATATTTTAAGTGTAAATTGTCTTGTTCCATTGGCAAAGTGTCTCACTTAAATACTTAATTCAAGAAAAAATGCACTTATTTTAAGAAAGAAATTACTTATTTAGATTACATTTTTTTGCAGTGTATGTGGATCAAACACATGAAAGGCCACCCTGGAGCTGCAATTAACAACTATTTTGCTAATCGATGACTCGACAGATTGATTAATTAATAATTGGATGGCTAAAGGTTCCTTAAAGAAGATTTTACACAGAATTTAATCCAGCGGAAGCTAAAACTAAGCCACTTGTTTTCCGTACGGGCTGGGAAATATCGTTTTGCACTTCCTGGCCACCGTAGATCTGATAAAGCATTCTGACAGACAATAAAAGGTTTTTCATCTTGAACACAAAATTCCAAAAAAGTAAAAAAAAAAAAAAAAAAAAATTAATCCTCCCTTTGTTTCCAAGTTTGAAGACATTTCGCTTCCCATCCAAGAAGCTTTTTCAATTCAAAAAGTCAGAAATAGCGTGGAGTTCCAGGCTTCATACAGTAGCCCAACAAGGCCTTTAACGCAAAATGTTTATACATTTTCTTGTTATAATTACAGATCCGAGGAGTTTGTCTTTGAACTAACGGCATGTTTGGAGTCTAAACACTAATTAAAGATGAACTTTTTAATAAATTAGTTAATAATTGTTCCAGTAAGATATCTATACCAAAATATAATGTCTTTTTGCCCTGTGCACAAAATGCAACAGAGTGCAAACACTCTGCATAAAGCCGGGCATACAATGTGCAATATTTTCAAGTGTTGCACGCAGCTATAGCTCACACTGTACGATAAAATCGCAGGGTTTAAAAGTTCACAGCTCTCCATGGTGCGGCCCGACGCTCTGATGCGATCTACCTGCTCACACTGTACGTCTAAAAAACACTGACGGGTGAGAGATGGCGCTGGTCGGACCTGTCAATGTGGAAGAACAGAGGTGTCAAGTAACACCTAAGTAACAAAGTACAAATACTTTGTTACTGTACTTGAGTACACTTTTTAGGTATCTATACTTTACACCATTACTTATTTTTCTTCCTACTTCTGACTTCTACTCATTACATTTTCACACAAGTATCTGTACTTTCTATTCCTGACATTTTTAAAACAAACGTTTCTCGTTACTCTTGGCTTCGGTTTAATGTTTCTAAATCTTTATTTCCCGTCATGTGCTCCATCCAATGCGGATCATTGGCTCCATCCACATCTAGTGAAAACTAGTGATTGGATGAGTCATATAACGCAAACACTCATTGGTTAGCTAAAGGAAATCATCAGAAGCAAGCAGGTGTTCTTCAAACTGCTAACGTGAATTGTCTATGCCATGCTACAATGTGGGATTCAGAAAAAGATGCTGAAATGTCTGAAAGGTCGGACACAGGCGAGAGCGTATCGGGAGACGGAGACCAACAAGACCTCCCTCATCCTTGGCCCTATCTCAGAGAATTTTTCAAAATAGTCCAAAAATTTAGCTTTAATTTCATATAGTGGCATCTGGATGTTTTTTTTTTAAGGTTACTTTATACTTTTATATTTAAGTAGTTTTTAGAGACTGCAGTATCTATACTTCTAATTAAGTAACAAATGTGTGAACTTTTGACACTGAAGAAGAAGAACTCCCTTGTTTGCACATGCAGTGCTCGAGGTTCTGGTAAATCGGCTTGTAGCTCCGCGTCAACTGCAGGATTTGTCTACAAACGCCTCAAGATGGCCGACTGAATTTCAAACATGTTCGATTTTCTTCCGACCTTATGATTCCTGATTAGGAGCTGGTCATTAGAGATTGATTTCCCCTAATTTCCTCCGTATACACGACGTACGATGAGGCTGAAACTCTGCCCGATTGAAAAAAAACTGTTGCATGACTGGAAAATCGGCCCGGAAAGGGCAAAAACAAAACAAAAATAAATAAACCGCACAGTGTATGCCCGGCTTAACCCTAAGAATAACACAATATGAAAGTTTGAGGAGTCAGCATCATTTTAACAAAGAAAAGGGAGACTAAGTTAATGTGTGGATGAACTGAGCTTTAAAGGAAGAAGCTGCTACAGAGTTTGATCATTTTTAGTTCCCATGTAGTCAGATGAGGCTAAATACAAGTGCATGCCCCATTTTATAATCTATACTCTAACCTATATTCCCTCCTACTTCACAGTTATGCACTACTTTGAGTTGGTCTATCACATACAAATCTGACAAAGTTTGTGGTTGTAACATTACTAAAAAAGTTTAATATAAATGAATACTTTTGGAAGAAACTATACCATACAAGTAGCTTATCTGTTTCTGAGAGTTTCTGAAGCTTCATTAGCATTCAAGAAAAAGAAAATGCATCACATCTTTGCATTGAAATAAGACAAGTTTCAGAGTTTTCCCAACAATTCTGAGGCCGTACGACCTTAAAAAGAACAAAAAAAAATCGTCTTGCTTTGTTCCGACTGAATGAGATTTAACTCAAAAGCGGAGACAAGATCATCCTTAGCTTTTCTACATCTCTATGCGGATGAGCCTTTTATTATATTTCAATCTAACGGTCATCTCTTTCAACTGCACTTTCTCTTTTTTTTTAAAATGCACAAGTTTGTCGGCTTTATGGGCATCATGCACTAAGTTTCATATGTGCCATAACTGGACAAAACCTGTACAATTTCTGTGATCATCAAGTATCTATAGGGGTATAATACACATTCAAACTCTGAAACAGCAAATGGTGTATATTACATATCTACACTTCGATGTGTTATTGGTGCAATACTGTAAAGAAAACAACAGACAGCACACCGTATACTTTGTCATCAATAGTATCTCAGTATTGCATATTGTAGCTATATTTATACATGGTCATATAAATATAGATCAGTTTATTTCTATGTACATTTTGATATTTCAACATTGCATAAAGAATAAAATAAATAATACAAATATAATCAAATCTTACAGTAAGTAATGATTTGAGAAATACTAGATTAGAGCTAAAATAGACCTAACAGTTGAAATAGTTATGGTAACAACTGTTATTCGCAAACAAAAAAACAGACAGACATAAAAAAAAAAAAGGAAATAAAAAATAAAAACTGTGGCCTAAAGTCTACACCACAATTACCCTGCAAGTTTACCATGTGGGACTGCTGGAATGACTGGAGAGGCAGAAGAGAAAAGGAAAGATCTGGACTCGTTTCCTTCTGCTGAGTCTGTCTTTGAAATTATGTTTTGTAGACGTGTGTGTGTGTGTGCATGCTTGTTTTCTTGCAATGTCATGGATTCGTGTACAGGTCTATAAATGTGACTTTTAAATGTTGAAAGGGCCGCGCAAACCTCTTGAGCTTTCACCTTCGGACGTCGGCCTTGGGGTCTTCCTGCTCAGTCGCCACTGCCGCCTCTGGACTGTGGCGGCGGGGCCCCTGACTGCGATTACGCGGGAGAGCATTGAGCACCGCCTTACCAGCTCTGTCCCTGTCGCCTTGTCGTGGAACAAGCGGGTGTTCTGGCTCTAGGTGGGGAGCAGGAAAGGCATGGCGGTGGTGTTGGACGATGGAGCTGGCAGGAGACGGGACGAGGGAGGAGCAGAGGCTCAGGCTGTCGCACAGTGCCCCCCAGTTCTGCTCGCATTGTAGTCTGACGCTACGAGTCAGGGCTTCTTTGACTTCCTCACCACAGCTCAGGAGAATATTCACCAGCTCCACATATGGGCTGGGCAGAGAGAGTCGGATTACTCACAAGAATCCTGTGATTTAACATTTGGAAGTAAAATACATCATGATCTTGCATATTAAGGTGAATAACTGGGATTAGGCTATTGGGATTATTGGAAATAACTTCAAATAAAAATATAAGGGGAGAGTAAGAAAAAAAAAGGTGGTGGAGCATGGCTGCTTACCCTTTAGGAAAAAGATCTTGAAAATGGATCATCTCCACAATGACTGCCACATTCTCCTTTGCAGCAGCGCACAGGTTGTGCTTCACATAGCACTCTCTCTGGAGCTGGAACACCATCTCCTTGATGGTCACGCACTTTCTACTTATGCAGCTAAACTTGTGCCGTAAACCGTGGGCCATGCACTTCAGAGCATCCTTGATGAAGGATTTTCCCTGTATGCAAAATACAAAGACAAGAGTCACTGGACTTGAGCAAATGCACCAGCTAACAAATACCTGCCCCCGTGTTAGCGAGGATTGGTTTGACCCGGCCAACATTTGTATGCGGGAACCATGTGGATCTTACTCAGGCTGAATAGGGACAAAGTTGGCGTGGGTTCACAGTGGGCCTCTGTGCAGGACCCACTTGACTTTATTAAATTCATTGAATCAGCAAACTCTTATGGTACTATGTCAAGCTAATTTGGGTCTCAAATGGGTTGATATTCGTGCTCAAATTTGAATAATTGTTGTAGTTAATGGTGGGGCCAGCCTTGCATTAATAAAGACTTCAAAGAATATATCAAAAACAATCAATTTTGTTCATTTAATCAATCATCCTATTTAAATATGTTAAAACCAGGTTATTGAATGAGTGCATTTAAAAAAAAGCCTACTAGAAGTTAGAAGGAATACATTAAAGTATGATTTATTTTCCATCAAAACAATTTTTTTCCTAAATTAATAAATTAAAAAAACATCTAAAGTGGTGCAGAACCAAAGATTAGCTTTAACTAATCAACTAATTTACAACCGGTTGAAAGCGGTATAACTGAAGGTTGGAATGAGAGCAGGCAAGAGCACCCCTTACTGACCGGGAGGAGTCAAACTTGTACACATTTCCAGTCAGTTGTGGAACTAATATAATTTACGCTTAGAAATACTTGTTAAAGTATACCTAATTAAAAGGGTTTTATTCGTTATATAACTTATGGTTTGTTCTAATATAGTTTCAGAAATGATTGCACCTGTTTAAGCAAATTCAGAGCATGTGTTGAAGTATGAATTTTGGAATCAATGGTGAGATACTCCAATATTACTGATGAAAACTGGCACTCATGGATGTAAATTCCTAGGATGTGACCTTATGGGCATATTAACACCCCAGTCATGCCTGATTTGGCAGGGTTTCAACCTCCGCTATGTATGAAAAGTAAGCTAACTGGGCTCCAGGCCAGCTGGCACATGGCCCCCTGGTCCCGGAAGCCACTTCTCTTCCAATCAAAACTGAAGAGATTAATTGTGAAGTGCATTACAGAATAAAAAAACAAAAAAACACAAAAAAACAAAAACACACAACATTTTTGGTGGTTTTAGAGGATAACTGTGCAGCAATGTCAAAATGTCTGCAAACAGACAAACTAGCTTAGTACCTGAGAGTCGAATTTGCCAGCATTGTGCAGAAACGTCATGCAGATTTCCTGCAGCCCTCGAATCTCGCAGGAGTTATTCTCAAAGCACTCAAACACGCCGCAGCCAACATCCCCAGCACTCACCAGGCAGTGCTGGATCTCAGCTAAAAAAGAGGAACAGGTTAGGCAAGGACCTTATCATGTGTCTACAGCAGAGACGACATGCTAAGATGAGTGTCGGCAATGACAGCTTGAAGGCACAGCTTCTCTTTAGGTTTATTCACAAAGCTTATGAGGCGTATAACTATTTGCACGGACGTGGGCGGTCATTTGCGTCTTCATGATATCGAGCCTATGATGGGTAAAAAAGATGCTGAGGGAAGATGGGCATCAGGAGGTGTGGAACACTTGGTGCGAGATATATTTACTGTGTCATTCTGCACCACAGTCATCTGCACTGTCTGGCATTGAAATGGGTTGGTGCATTGCAGATATTTCTTTTTACAACAAATGCAGGCATTACGGTTTATGTCTTTCGCTTCAAGAGATGTACATCAACAAGTAGTTTAGTTTCGCTCTTAAAAAAGTTACAATATTGCAATGGGGAATGCAGCAGCAGCAATGACGACATGAACTCCCAAAAAGCATTAAGTCTATGCGTTTACTAACACATAAATTCATTCTTTATATCTTAAAGTAATTGCAAAAAGATGCACATTTGATCAAGATCTTAAAAGGAATGTGGGTCACTGATCAGGGTTTTATTTTCATAGGGGAATGGAATAGGCACTTGGAAATAAGGAGTGTCCATTAGGCTTAAACCTTTTCCTTTATTAAAGCCTTTCTGGGTAAGAAAGTTTAGTGATAATGACAAATTATAAACAACACAGCTGATGCTAATGCTTTAGTAATCTGAACTGTAACTCGTTTACAACAGAGTTTGAGCGGAAGGCATTTCCCCATTTTATGCACTATATTAGTTGGGTCAATAAGACTTCTTCATATGAGGGAGGAACTTTTATTTTGGTGACAAGATCCTGAAGTTTGCCAAATCGAACTGCTTTTACGACTGCTGCGCTCCTGTCAGGTTCAGGGGAACATACGGTAAGGCTTGGTGGTAGTTTTTAAAATGGCTCATTGCCCAGAGCACCATTCTGACATGGAGTGAGTGGGACCAACACTTATAGGGAACAAAAGCTGTCTGGCTCAATCATATTTAGTTACTTTAACACAATTGTTTCATGTTAGCAGGGAAGGACATGAAACAAATGTTTTAAAGTAACTAAATATGATTAAATGAATGCCAAGACAGTTGCATTATTTTTTTTTTTCAGGGTAGACCCAAACAGGTTTTCTTTATAAGTGGACTGTGGAAAAAATGAATACTAATAAATGCTAAGAGACTGAAAAAAATAATGCAACTACTTCTGGCAGTTACCTAATCCTATTTAGTTACTTTAACACAATTGTTTCATGTTAGCAGGTATAGGAACTAAAACAATTGCGTTAAAGAAACTAAATAGGATTAGGTAAATGCCAAAAGTAGTTGCATTATCTTTTTCAGTGAGCACATCAGAGGTTATTAGACACTCAGAACATTAATGATCCATTGATAAAGTCATGTGCAATCAATCCCACCCAGTGTGCACCTTAGGGACTGCAGGTACAGGCCCTACATTTATGATTACATGGGGGAAAATGGGAGCCCATACTGAGATTGTTTAACCTGGCACTAAACTTTTGAAACATTTTTAAAAAAGGAGATGATCCATCAATGTCACTGCTGCATTCTTACAATAACTTTAACCGCTTCTGATGATGAATAATCATCTTAGGAGATCCTGCACGCCGTTTGCGTCCTGAGCGATGGATTAAAAGTGACTCGTTAGAAATCAAGCTGGGGGGGGGGGGGGGGGGAGAGAATTGAACTTTAGTGCGAGGGAAAAGTGAGCCGCTCTCAGCAGTGCTTGTTTTGGCATTGCTGGAATGCGCTCGGATTGTACGAGCTCGGCCGCAAACATGCATTGGATTACACAGCGGCGTTACCGGGGGTCTCTGCTGCTGCAAAAACCTGCGATGCGCTGAGAGTTTCTCCACATTTCCCAACCGAGGAGGAGGGGAGATAACATTGATGCTTTGATACAAAGCTTTACGCGATCGCCTGCATGTCAAACCCAGCAGAGGCTGCAAAGTTCAGTTTTATGCAAGAATTAAAGCAGCTTGTACCTGCATTTATTTGCGTTTAAAGCGTTTTTTCTTTAAATATATCCTGCAATGGTTTAAAGCCAATTTCTTCTAGTGTATCAGCCCGTTTGGTCCTGGAATGAAATGAATCACATCACCCTACAGTTAGTTTTTAAAGGCATGCAACAGAATTAAAGGTTAACCAAACTGTCAGGACACCTAGGCTATACAAGCGCGCGCGCGTTCACCGGAGCGCGCCCTCACCTAGATGCGCGGCCGTATGGATTACCTATGACCTTGTGCCGTTCTATTAATAGTTTACTAACGTATTGCATTTCCGTCTGGGAGTGTATACAATATATCACCTTTCATGAGAATCGGGAAGCGTCGCTCAAACGTCAGAGAAGGGAATGGAAGCCCAAATCTGCGGATCTCAGAGTTTGCCCAAACGTGCCTCCCTGCACGCTTTAATTTGCAGCTACAGAAACACGTGTCCCGGGCAAACCCACCCAGCCCCTCTCTCTCCCCAAAATGCCACTTCCCCGTTTCCTCTGCGGGCTCCCAGTCTTACCTGTGTTCTGCAGGGAGAGGCGTCCTTTCTGGCTGGCGGGCTTCTCCGGGGGCAGATCGTGAAAATCAATATTATCCGATCCCACCGCTTGCTCCAGCACTGACAAAACCAGCAGCGCCACAGCCAGCTTGACCAGCATTGCGTCTTCTGTTCCCCGGCGAAGATCCGACAGAGAGAGGGGGGGGAGAGAGGGAGAGAGTGCGTGGCTGTGTGCGTGTGTGCCTTTCAATCTGAGTGTGATGGTTCACCTTGGATCGGCGCAGCTAAGCCTCGGTGTGTCATGGAGCAGCTGTGTGGGACTGAATGCATGAGCTGGAAGGGATGCTGCCTATATTTCTCTACAGCAGCCGGGTGTCAATTTGGATGAAGGAGTTAAGCAGGTGTTGTCGGTCGGCGCTTCGCAGCCAATCGGATTCGAGGAAATCCGCGTCCAAGGTTTTAGGGGCGTGTCCACTTTAAAAGTCTCCCTTTTGCAATGAAACCCGCGACGTAGGACGAACGTTCATGGTCTGCAGAGATTCAGAAACTCAATTTCTGATCTTGTATAATTTTAGATCTTATAGAGAAATTATGCGAGTTTGCAGTGACATAAATGTGCTTGGAATTAAAGGAACCAAACAGTCATCAGACTATTAATTAACTCAAAGAATAATGACTGGAACAACCTCAAGAGTTAATAATCACTGTAAAGAATTAATAGAAGTTCAACAAAGCTTGCAATAGCAGAAGCTCTAAATATGCAATCTGGTAGATAATAGTTTTATTTTAGGACTTTTTAAGAGCTAACTGAAAGCAGAAAGCTTATAATTAGAAAAAGCTCCCCCCCCCCTTACATTTCATGAGGAATTGGAAGATTTCTGTTATGTGATGCCCAGTTTATTCTGTGACAAAGAGGTCTGCACTTGGATTTCACAGGAACAGATGGCAAACATCGTTCCTTTTTAAAACTCAAACATTTTGGTTTTCTTTTTTATTTCTTTTTTATGCACAAGTCTTAAATGTGTCATGGGCAAAAATGTTGAATTTAATGACTGCAGGAGGGTTTTAGGCTTCCTAATGTTTCCAGTGACTTCAAGGTACTAAGATACTTTTTGGGTGAAAGCCTCTTTAAGTCTATAAGAGCCAGTGGTTTAATGCCAGCTCCCCTGGAATGCTGTGTGGTGTTGTTGCACCATTCATCATGCCAAGGTTCTGACTACCATAAGGGTGCAAGATGGAAGACTGCACTTAGGTCCACAGCCTCAAGGGGGCCCACCGATACTATGTGTATAAAACCTTTTTGTTTGTTTATTATCTTAAATAACATCACACCACAAATGCAATCACACAGTGGATATGTATCATACTAGTGTTCAAAGAATCCAGAAATACAGCAATGATCTGTAAATCTGAATCACATTGCATTGCAAAAGTATTTTATTAAAAGTATAAAGTATCTATCTATCTATCTATCTATCTATCTATCTATCTATCTATCTATCTATCTTTTTACAAACCTTCTATGGTCAGAAATGTGTAAGGAGTCCAGTTTGAAGTTTGACAAAAGCTGTATTAGATGAAGAGCAAGATGACAAAATGTTTGGAGCTAAATACAAGCATTGTTGGAAGCAAAACTATCGGATGCAGTTAAAAAATTATCATAACAACAATGATACATTTTAATTAAAGTGCCTTTCAGGGAACCTTAACAACTTAACAACAACAACCATACACAATATTAAAAGCAGTGGAGACAGTCAGTGGGGGTTATGGAGTCTTAAAGAGATGGAAGTTACGGATTGAACAGGGAGATCTAAGGATATGTTGGGGGGTGAGAAGAAGATCCGAGAGGTATGGGGGAGAATACCTTGACATCCATGATGGTTTTTGCATTAAATGGGCCACCAACTGAAGCTTATGGAGAAATTTCTGAGGGAGACCAAAGAGAAGAGGTTTGCAGTAATCGATGATGACGACAAGGGCATTGATGAGACCAGAAGCAGAGTGCAGGGAAAGACAAGGACATAGACAAGGAAGAAAAGACTCTGAGGCTACCGTAAATCCTCTAATATAGGCCGGGGCCTTTATTTCACTCAGGTGCATCTTGGTCCAGGCCATTATTGGAAGGAGGCCAGAATTAGAGGCAGGCCTCTATTTCTATTTGTTCAAAACAGACGACCAGTGGAATGAATAAAAACAGATTGTGTCTCTTTGAACCGATAAAATACTAGGTTAATTTATTGAAAAAGTACAGTTACCATAACGGTTTACAGAACATTATTTAGACATCTTCCAGCAGCTGCTATTTTTCTGCACGGCAATACAAGAAAAAAAGACACAGAATGGATTCTTGGCCACACAAAGTTTTAAAATAAATTAATGGAAACTGTTCTGCAATCACAGCCGGTCATAAAAACCAAACAATCCGGCCTCCCGTCTGCAGCACTGTCTGCGCTAAGGATGGGAATTCCCAAGCTAATGGATTGGATTCTTTAGCAAACACTGCCCCCCTGTGGTACTTGCATGTTACTATCAGAGGTTGCTGAGGACTGCACAGGAACATCGTTGGTTCCAATTATAGCCCCGGCCTGTATTAGCGTCTGGCCATTATTTACCCCCGCCGACAGTTAAACCGGCCATTATTAGAGACCCGGCTGCTAATGGAATACAGGCCGATATTAGAGGATTTACGGTAAGTATATCACCTCTAAGACAAATAACGGAACAAAACACACAGCCAGACCTACAGCGGGATGGTTTACATCACACCATGTGTTTGAATGGCCTACTTAATGTAATGACCTCGGAAACATGGACCCAATATTCAGACAGACAGATCAGGACGAGTTTCAACAGGCTTTATTTAAACAAACAAACATGGCGACTGGCTGGTTGTCAGTGGAACGGATAACCGGATTCTCTGCATAGATAGGAAAGACAGGTCAGTAACTGGATTGTCAAGGCCGATCATGACTAGGAGCAAAAAGTCACTTACCTGGTTCAAAGTCCAGTCTGATCCCAGAGGAAAGGAGAAATCCGGGAAGGGGATTGTCCACCGCTAGCAGCTGTAGCCGCTTCCTGGACTTCGGGTGATGATGAGCTGACACCAGCCAAACTCTTAGGAGCCAACAGTGTCCGTGGGAATAGGAATAGGTAAAATCCGAACCAGGTTTACAGACCAGAAGATCAGAGAGCTGAAGAGGTACCAAAGGAGAATCCGAGCCGAGGTCAGTAACACAGTCCAAGTTCGGTAACCAGCAGGATCCAGGAAAACAGTTCAAAAACAAACACTTGACAGAGCAGACGAGGGCAAGGCAAAAACTCAAATATCCAGAAACAGAAAACAGGTCAGATTCAGAATCACAGAAAAACTCACTTGAACGCTAGAGTTACTGTATAAAAGGCTCTGACATTCCTGTATTTTATTTTGTAATATTGGTTTAGTTTACCGTAGGAAGTGACGTAAGCTCCGGTTTTTAGTGCTGCGCCACCTCTCAGGATAGTAGTTGATATACTTTCAGTTTCAGTTCGCTGCATTCTCGACACGTGCGACCGCATTCTTGGTGAGGTTCTGTGAGCGATGCTCCGAGTGTTAAGTTGACGACAAAACGTAAGTTATCGCACCTAGCGTGCTGTTTGTTTATTCTAGATTCAGTCGTTATATGTGTAAGCCACGAGAGGGCGGGTATGTGATGTTGCAGGGGCTCTGAGCGATGGAACTAAGTTGAGCCTGCTTGGTCCTCATAGGTTTATTGTCCTTTGGCGCCATCTTGTGGCTGAATAAAATCCCTGCATAACGGTGGCAGCTGGCAGTGCAGGCTTTTAATAATGCTGCAATAACTCAATGGAAATAGAACAGATACAACCGAAATGCAGTTAAATAGTGTTTAAGTACATTTCATGTTCAACTGAGCCGAAGGGCTGTCTGTGTTCGTGTTTTATCATAGAGGCTGCGCCTAATAATGTAACCTTTATGTGAATTGAGTTATTTATATGTTGTGGGTTTATACGCAAAGTAAATGGTTAACTTTATTCCTTATTGGATATTTATTTGAGTGTATTAGTTAAACCTCTGTTCTTGTAATATGTTAGTCTAATAGTAATTTACTTGTTATTACAGACTGCTGGCAACACTGAGCATCACGATAAATAAACCTGCTCACATCCCGAGAGAAGTTTGGTCTCGTGTCCTCTTTCCTGTATCCTGACCGATACACCATCCTGTTGGTTACAACATACCTGAGAACCTATCCTAATTAATATTGGTCCTTCGAGCCAGATAGAAGCCACCAGGATGGAGCCAGACAGAGCGACATTTCCTGAGGTGAGACCTAAACGGCAGTCACGCCGGCCAAGCCGATTTGACGACTTTGAAGTCGAGTATGCACATCACTCCATCCGGGAAACGCCACGTTGGGAAATTCCCCCGCCTACCCCAAGACATGTGGAACACCAACCTGAGTATAGCAACGCACCACGTTTCTACGGTGATAGTGATGTAACCTGTCCTCCTACGTCACCCTGGCTGGAGAGAAGTGAACAAGAGAGGAACTATGGGAATCTCACACCCGAACGTTCCCCCTACAACCTGTGGGAGTTTCCCATCCAACCCCCTCACACAAGATTTAGAGCTTCGCAGGCAGAAAAGGAGAAGCTACTTCAATCACAGGAAGTTCAACAGGAAGGCCTGAGAGAACTTAATGAAGCGAGGAGTGATATCAAAGCGCTGATTGAAGCTGCCCACTCACTGAGAAATGATATGGCTCAGCTGGCTGCTTCAAAATATACCACGTATCAGCCCCCCCTGAGTAGCTCAGAAAGGGCGTACAACACCACCACTAACACAGGGCCAATCGAAGCTGAAGAGGAGGAGGAGTGGCCTGATCCACCTCCGTGGCCCGAACCTGGGGAGGAGCTGCTCACAGGATTCTCCAAACTAAAAGTTGAAGAACAGTACTCAGGTTATGGCGCACAGTACTACCCTCCGCCTAATACAAGCTCTTCGCCCCTTAGATCCTCTCTTCCGACACGCATGCCTCAGGCTCAGGAGCATAAAGAAAACGCGTCCTACGCTCCTCCACAACATCCCGAGCCATCCTCAAAGTGGACACCAAGAAATACAGGTCTGCTGCAACCAAACCCTGTTAGAGCTAAACCCCCTACATCAATCACAGGGGCAGCGCGTGAGATGTCGAACTGGCATGATTCAGCCCCACCTCTCTCATCTGAGATGGTATATAGGGGGCCTAAACCCACAATCCCCAAGTTTATCCAT